GGGCTTCTGCAAAAGCTTGCACGCAACCTCGCCCAGCTGTGGTGGAAAGAGCTTCCCCTCCTAAGAGGGAAACCATGCTGTGATGCCCTCTCCCCAATATCACGTTGCACCCTGCGGATTTCTGTGCTATGGGGTAATGAGTGCAAAGATACTGAAGTCAGAATTATGCCACGCCACACCTGGCTTGACTTAAACGAAGGGTGAAAATGTCCAGCCTTGACGCGCAAGCTTTGAAGCCCAGCTAGATCCAGGTCAAGGCCCAGATGTGCCTGGGCTGCGGCTCTTCCTGGAGGCTTTGATCCTACCTGTGTTTCATATTCACTGAATGACTGCCGAGTGCTCCCCTGCAATATTGCAGGGCAACGAGTGTGCCCCGTTTACCTGTATACAGATTCAAATGCCTAAGAGAGCAGTTCACCTGATGCAACCTTGTTTTCTTAAACCAATTCCACAACAACTGATCAAAGGTAATATAAGAAAGCTAGGAGCAGTAGCACAAAAGCACTCTGTTCCCCATCATTCACTCCCGGCTTTCCCCAGTGGTCCCTGACATTTGACTTGGTTTTCTTGACAGCTGCAGCAAATTGAGCGGATGTTTTCCACAAGCAAACCACGGTTATTCCAGGATATGTTTTTCCTTTCTCCAAGTATCACAGCAGTTAAAGTGGAACCCAGCAACACTATGATTTCTCTTCTTCTGTGATGTCAATCTATCTAGGAGAGATCTCCCCCTCCACTTCTTACTTAACAAAATACAGTATTTTTTTACTTGCTGTTTTGTTTACCACATTCCCAGTCCTAAGATATTTTTGTTCAAGCTCTTTCTAGTCAACTTTGGAGAGATTTTTGCTGCAAGTTTTGCCAGTTTTGCCTTCATCTTAATAAACATGCTACACACTCTATACCACCCTAAGACATTTTTGCTGCCTGGGACAGAACAGCAGAGGCTCTCTGCCAAAAGGGCATCTTACTCAAGGATGATCATGCTATTTTCATACCTGAGTTAGAAAATCCTATTACTTCCTGTCCTCTGCTCAGGCCATGCAAGACAAATGCATAAACCAGGAATGCTTTGTTAAACTGTGGGATTCACTGAGACAAGATTCAGTGATGGCAGCCAATGCAGATGGTTTTAGAAAAGGAACAGATAAATTCATGCAGTTTAAGGCTCTCAATGGCTAGTAGGATGGCTGTAGGTCCACCGCCAGCATGCCTCTCTGTATAAGGAACACAAGAGGTAAGGTGCTGTTGTGCTCATCTCTTCTACTTAGCCTTCTCAAGGATGCTTCGGTATGAACTGAATGTTGGATTAGTCAGGTCTTTGGCCTATTACAGAAGGGCTCTTCTTATGTCCTTAATAATAAGAAGTAAAGTAATACTGAGGGGCACTTTCACAGGACAGAGAAATCAACTCCTTGAAGTAGCCACTTTGCTCAGCTCTGCAAAGTGGCCCTATGTAAGGATGATCTGCTATGTTCTGGTTTTATTGGTTCCAGGAGGTTATTAATACCATAGTGACGGAGTAAACCTAGCCGCCTTGTGATGGAAAAGAAACATGTTGGGGTTGCTTTCCCTTCAAAAAATACCCACTGGCAGTGCTTCCAGGAGTGGTGGTGGGGAAGAATACATGTAGCCTCAGAAATGTGAATACTTCTGTGGCTTGTGATGGATGTGGGCAGGATAGTGCATGAAACTATGCATAAGTTTGAAAAGCACTCATTACTAAAAATGGTAACATTTGGAATAAGTGTGCTACAGTGTAGTTTAGTCAGTGAAAAAATATGCATATTAGGAAAAGATGTACACTCTGAAGTCTGTGTGTACATGTGGAGGGGAGAGGGAGATACCAATTTCATGCAGGAAGAAGAGTATTTCATCCTGACATGGAATTAGGATGGGATGAAAATGCTGGCAGGAATCTGAGAAATGCAACAAAACGGAGGCTGACATTTTTAAAAAAATCTGTATTCATCAGATTACTTTTAAAGAAATCACTGAAATCAGAAGGCTTTAAGTAGAAAACATCTATAGCAATGCTTCCCAACCTTGGGTCCCCAGATGTTCTTGGGGAGCCACACACACCCCTGTGCTTGTGGGTGGGCAGGGTGTGCTCACAGGTGGGCACATGTTCGTGCCTGCGCAGGTGGGCGGGGAGCGCTCGTGCTCACCCGTGCCTGCAGGTGGGTGGGCCATGCGTGCATGTGGGCGTGCATAGGGGGGGAGATCTGTCTCTGTGGCCTGATCCCGCTAAGGCCACAGCCCAGGGTTGGGGACCCATGGACTACAGAATTCAAGCCTAAGTGCACACACAGTGAACTTTTAAGATACACCCAAATCAAATCCCTACCTAGCCTAGCTTGCCCATATCTTCCTGTATTACTTTTACAATGGGAAAATGGGAACCTACAACATTTAGCTTGCTTTATCCCAAAAATCTCAGTGTAGAGATAAAAACGTTATGCAACCATCTGTTATGATACTAAGTCCTTGCCTCCCTTGCTATCTTTATTAAAACTCAGTGGTTTAGGTAGCCAGAGGCTGGGGAGTTCGATTCTCCATTGTGCCTCCTGCGAATAGAGCCAGCCTGCCTGGCCTCTGGAAAGCTGAACAGTCCCAGAAATGCCCCCCCCCAAAAAAGAAGGGAATGGTAAACCGCTTCTGAGTACTCTCCAACTGAAAAATTCTGAAAAGGGTCACCATAATTAAAAATTGATTATTGAACATCTGCTGTGATACTAAGTCCCTGTCTCCTTTGATCTTGTTAAATTTAATTAATAATTAGTTTTCAAGTTAAATATGTCTTAGTAATTCAGAAATATAGGATAGACATCTTCCTTTTTCAACAGTGATATGTGGCTACCCTTCAAATCTATTCTAAAAATGTTCCTTCATGCAGTTTCATCACTCTGATCACTGTTATTGAATAGTCATATCAAATACTGTACTGGTGAAATGCTCAGAGATGTTCAGCTTTGACTGGAGCAAACCTAGTAATATACAAATCTTTTACTTTTACTTTTCAGGTGCCTTCTGCCCTCTGGTGGAATACAAAAGTTATTACCCAGATTGTTCCTGCTGAAAGAACCATTTCCACAAGTAAACCAAGTCAGCACACTTTCATTTTTAAAAAGCTAAATGTATTTTGAGACATTAATTGCATTTCCCCTTCAAAATTACATATGTATATGCCTGATCTTTTGACGATACAGTGCGCAAGTTTTCTGATCCTTTCAAGACTAAACAATATTTTCATTTAGACAGCAAGCAAATCAAGAGAACATGACTACAGAGGATGCGGGTGGTTTTCATACCTGCTGAACAAATAACCCCATAGACACAGTCTACAGGAGATTATGGAAAAACTGAAACTGAAATGGCAGTGTTCATTATCTCCTTGTTCATTCCTTTCCTATTTATGTGGTTGGGCTGCAGGGCATATCTTCTTAAAATGAGATGCGGACCTGCATCACACACCGTACGCTATACAGATCTGGATCTTCTGTTGGAGAAAATGTGTGCTTACCAGGCAATGAGTCGATTACACAATTAAAACAAGCCCCCAGGACATTAACAGGAGAACCTGCTGGTTGTGTCATTTATAATTAAGTATTCCTTTTTTTAAAAAAAAAAACCTGTATGTCTATGTTTTATGCACCCATGTGCTGCCCAACTGCCTGTGAGAAGGAAGAAGAGTACAGTATACTGATGATTCACATGAGTAATGCATCACAGCCTTGCATGCAGCTCCTCCTTTTGCCCAATTGGGTCCCCTCTGGCAGCATCTGCAATGCAGGGATCAGAACTGCATTAGGCACACGATGCCTAAAGTGTGTATCTCTTCCTCAAATGAGGACAGGTTCTTGCTGCCAAGGCAGCTTCCTCTCTACAGAGCTTGCTGACAAAGAACTCTCTGCAGTCCACACAAACAGACCAAGACTTTCCAATCTTTATTTTTTTTTTTAGATTTTTAAATTTATTTATTTCTAAAGAATGAAAAGACAATCGACCATACTGCAAATATTAAATACAAAACTATTCCCCACATTTCTCCAAATCACATATAGACCAAGAGTTTCCAATCCACACATAGGCAAGACTGAATGAGAAGGGTTCATTGACATAATGTGGCCACTCTGGATCCCTAAAAGGTCCCCCTTCCCTTTTTGGGGGATTCAAAGAGCCAGCTCCTCTTTTTGGCAAAAACATACTTGGCGCAGAGCTTGCTAATGTTGCAGTTCTCTGGATTGCAAGTCCTGAAATCAGTGACCATGGTGATTGGGAATTGTAGTCCCCAAAGTATTTTTTTTCCAAGTTTTGATTTGAAATGGAGCACAATACACCCCTTGGAGATGGCTGATGGGATGAAAAGAAAAGCAACCCTACACATCAGCCTGCTAATGCAGATAGATCCATTGTTTCAATTTCTCAAAAGGAGACTCTTAACCAGAGGGAATGGTATTATGTCTCTCTCTTTAAAAGAACAGTCCTGTTAAGACAGTGGGCCATATCTCCAAGCAAACGTGTGTAGGGTTGTACTGTAAAAATGAGTTGCTTATAAGGCATCATGATTTTTTTTTAAAAAAAGGTAATCTAATTTATAACCCTACCTTGGCATCTGAACGTTTTGGAACAAGGTGAACCTTCTGCTTTCTCAGAAAACCTCAGCAGGTAATCCTGCCAAATTGAAGCACTGTATCTCTCTTCAATCTAATGCTCAGGCCACAGGTAGTGAATATGGAAATAAGGAAGAGTACCCTTCCCTTACTTCCCCAGTACATGTTGTTGGTGTACATGTTGACAGCTGGGAAGGAGCTGGAAATGTACCAGCTAACTTCAAATGAAGAAAGCCCACATTAAAGAGAGTGTGAACGTGGGAATACATAGACGGGAAAATTGCCCTGAATGTAAGCATTATGGGAATTAACCCACCAAACAAGTTAATGCTTTGGTCAAAACGAAACAAAAACCAAAGAAATAAGATAGGGTGTTTTTTTTTTAAAAAAAAAAACTGGAATATGGAAAATCTAGAGGAGCACTTCACTTTCCAGTGTGAAGAAACAATTTTATTTAAGGCTGAGCAGAATACTCCTTTGAGGGATTACCGGTTGCTCGCCATGAGCATGGGTGTGCTGGAAGGGATGTTCAGATAAGGTCTAAAAAGGTTTGAGTGAGGAAGTCGATTTATCATTCAAAATCAAGTGGCAGCATCTTTTTCTAACCTGGGACAGACTGCCCAAATGGAAATGGCATCAGACTATCCCATTTTGCCTATAAGCATTCTTGTGAGGGAAAAAAAGATGGCTGCCAAATCTCTTTCATTCAGTTTACATCTGTTTGGCATTAATCAACAGTCATTTGTTAAGACTTCAGGTTCAATAGAAAATTAAGGCAGCATCTCTACTAATAAGTCTCATTAAGTTAAAATTCATGGAGACCTCCTCCCCCCTCTCCCCTCGGTGAAGGGAAGGAGTAAGTAAGCCGGCTCTCAGTAGGGCCATATTAATTATTATCAACCCCACCCCTAATATCTGCTTTGCTCTCTTCACGCTGGATCATCAGGCATCTTTATTCAATTCCTCTTCAGTTTTTGTTCAGAATCACAGCATTTCATTCTAGGATCTCAATACAGCAAAAAGAGTGGGATCATCATTAATGTCCCTCTGCAGACAGGAAAATTAAGATTATAAACAGAGAAGATGGCTTGCCCATCTTCATTAAGCATATGATAATGAAGCTGAAATTAGACTTTCCCATGGTGGCCTGGATTCCAGACCAGTTTTGGGATAAGACCACAGGACATGACTCGTTAACAGGGAAACCCAGAAAAGCCACAAGGTGTCAACACCAACAGACCCCAAAGAAAGATTCCCAGGAGAGTTTAAACATGCTTAGTGGTTAGGACTTATCCTGCTTCTCCAATTGCTCTCTCTCTCTCTAGGTTTGGCAAGTGGGGAACAGACACTTCCCCCCTCATGAGAATCATAAGGTTGAGAGGGCTGTAGCACTGGAATCATGAGGAGAGGGGCCATGAGGAAAAGAGACCAAGGGGAGCCCAACTGCCCTTTGCCAAGCTTCTCTTGCGAGGGCATCAATTTTTCAAACCTGGTGCTTGAGGACTGACTTGTAAGGAAGAATCTTTGACCCTCAAAAAGGGTGGGATTTCGTGAGACAAACTAGAAGCGGTGCTCTTTTTGCAGTAATTGTGTAACGTGAGGAGCAGGGAAACAGAACCCTACAGAACCCCACTTATGATGTGTAGTTTGCTGCTTCCAGCATGCTTTGCCCCCTTTTGTGTGCCACTCAGGGATGCTGGCATCCCACACTCCATCTTGGTGGTCCACCAGATCTCAGCGAGCCACTAGTCCTCGGCCACAACATCCGTGGCCCACATCCTCCCAAGAGGGTCCTGTGTCACATCAAGATGTCAACAGCATTAGTTTCTCATTCATTCCTCTTTCTTTGGTTCCCTTCTCCCCTCAGGCAGCCACCTTGTGCTTCCTTATCTTTAGGCTTCTGCTGGTAGGGGAGGGACACTGGCCAGTGCAGGGATGAGGTGGGCATAGATCTCAATCCCATGGAGGAAGACCTGCTCATTCAGGAACTCGTTGTGGTCATGCAGCAGCACAGGAGTGTGGTTCATGGGGGAGAAACCGATCGCTGGGAGACCTGCCTGCAACACAGTGGAAGGGAAAGTAAGGATCAGAACTGCATTACTGGAACAAAGGAAGAGAAAAGAAATAATCAAGTGACAAGATGCAAACAGAAAACTTGCACTCAGGCTCCTACTCACTGCTCTGATGTAGCGGCTGTCTGTGGCAGCAGGGAAGATCTCACACTTCAGCTTCATGTGCCTGACAAAAATGAGACAGAAACATCATGACAGCAAAGCTGCCATTTTGACCCTATTTTGATTCTTGCCACTGAGGTCCAAGCCACTTGATGCCAGAATTCAAGGGGCAAGTGTATTTAAAATAGAAAAGAAGCTGTCTTGAATAAGGTAGAACCGGGATAGGAAATATGGGGGGGGGGGGGTTAAGCTGCCACTGAACTGCGCCTCCCAGCATCCTTTGTTCCTATAGCTAAGCTGGCTAGGACTGAGGGGAGCTGCAGTTCAACAACATAGGGAGGGCTGCACAATCCCCATCCCTGATCCAGACATGCTGATGTTACTGGGTTACTCTCTTGTTCTTTATACAGATCGTTAACAGAATCTCCGTCTGAACACCGTAATCGTCCATTTAAAAAAAACCCACACAACATGACAGGGATTTCTTTCTGAGTTTGGGAGTCAGAACAGTTTGGGAGTTTTAAAGCCGCCAGCTTTAAACGTGGCCTTAAAAAGAAAAAGTGAGTTTTTAAGAAAGGAGAATAATGGCATCTTACTCACATGTCCCTGCAGGTGCCACTGAACGCCTTCCACCAGGGGTCAGATTCTTCTGTGGAGGTCACCGACTGATCCGTGTATTTCTAGCCCAAAAAGAAAAGGGTAGAGGATGTAACATGGAGGAAGCAAGAAGTCACCCACAGTGCAGGAGTCTGTGGCAAGGACATGGCAAAAGCAGCAGCAGGAGTGCAAGCGATAGAGAGACACAAGGCAAAACAGAAGAGCAGCCATCCTGAGCTAAAGGCTCAAGGGTGGAAAGGGAGAGAGAGGATGACAGCAGAAAGCAAGCCAGTCCAGGTAAAAGCCAGGAACTGAGCTATGCTCCTAAATCTAAGGAAAAGCAGCAGTCTCTCTCATCTTTCCAGTTACCTGGTGGAACTCATAGGTAACACCTTCTCCAGCTGCCCGGCACCAGGATGTCAGCTGCTCCTCAAATGCCTGCAAAGGAGAGGCAAACCATCATGTGACAGGATCATACAACTTCTAACAGAGGTCCCAATTTCCATTTATCATAAAACTCTACAGTCTTCCCAATTTATTCCACGACCTTCTGCATGTCCTGTTGCCCTGCTGAACTGCAGCTATTTCCCAACAACTGTAACAATCATATTGTTGATATGATTGGAAATACCAACAACTAAGCTTAAGCAAGAATCCAGGCTGGATTAGGACCATGCTAAGTTTCTGACACTGCCCTCTTTCACCCTTTGGAGGAGTGGACTTAAAACCTGAATTGATCTTTCAGTGGAAGGAAGAAAAACAGAATGCGTAAGAGTTCAAACTTTGAAATTTCCAGCTCTTGAAAGTAAGAACTCTTGTGAAGAAAACAGGGGAAGAAAGCCATTCTCCCAGTCATGACCAAGAAAGGTTGCAAAGCACCTTCATATTATGAATTGCAACCAATGCAAGGAGTGGTCCTTTTTAAACATATCCCAGTATCTTATGAGAGGCTATTAAATAATTTGCATATGATAAGTTTGGAAACAACAGCTCTTGGGGAACCATTCAAAGTAGAGAAAAACAATGTAGGTTCCAGCCAGTTTCTTAGGAGCATTTTCCAGGCAACACGTTGCAGAACGAACTCTTGTCATCGCCGTTCCTGCCTGTTTCTTTTTCAAGGATACCGTACCTTTAAATCAACCGTGGGTGGGATGCGGATGTCAAAGGCTGCTGACATCTCAGATGGGACCACATTGAAGGAGATGCCCCCATTTAACATGGTCAGGTTGAGAGAGGTGACGTCACCTAAAGTAAGGTGCTTCTCTGACTTCAATCTATGGAAAAGAAAAGATCACACCCACTTCTTGAAGCTTCGCATTAAACAACTTCTTAACTCCGAGACTGAAGATATAGAACATTCAGGGGCTTGAGATGACTTGTAGGCATTTTCAATAGCCATTTTGAAATGTCCAAAATTTTCATCAACAGAATGGGGAATAAAAAGAGCCGTTTTCTTATCCAGTTCCTTACAATTTGCCTGAGAGGCACACAGTCACCTGCTTCCTTTCAGGATTCTGTGTTTGTCCCGAGAGGGTTGGGTGGGCTCCATTTAAAGATGTCTGCCCTTGCCTATACCAGACTATTTGCAGAGAAACCTGCATCCCAGATGTGTTGCACAAAGTGCTCAGACCAGTGGCCAACTCTAGCAAATAGTCCAAAAAGGAGGATTTGCTTCTGAGGTTAAGCTAAGGAACAAATACTCTTTACACATTAAAACATGGCAGGAGGATTAACAGCAAACAATAAACACTAACCAGAAATAAATAAGGTAGCCAGTTATCAGTTATCATTGGTGACATCAATGCCCTTAGTTAACATAATACTTGATATTTAAAGGTAAAGGTTCCCCTTGACAATTTTTGTCCAGTCGTGTTCGACTCTAGGGGGTGGTGCTCATCCCCGTTTCCAAGCCATAGAGCCAGTGTTTTGTCCGAAGACAATCTTTCCGTGGTCACATGGCCAGTGCGACTTAGACACAGAACTCTGTTACCTTCCCACCAAAATGGTCCCTATTTATCTACTTGCATTTGCATGCTTTCTAACCGCTAGTTGGCGGGAGCTGGGACAAGCGACAGATCTTACAACTGCTTGGTCTTCTGACCCTGCAGCACAGGCTTCTGTGGTTTAGCCCGCAGCGCCACCACGTCCCTTTTGATATTTACATAGTACCTTTTCCATATGGTTCACAGTACTCCTTTACATTACATCAGAAATCTTTACAAGCCAATACCACTATAGGAGCCTGGGGAGAACATGATTTATCTGAGGTAAACCTGGGGAATATGTAGCCCTCTAGATCTTTGGACTTTTAGCTCCAGAAGCTTCAAACAGCCTGGCAAGTGGTAAGAGATTACGGGAACTTTTGGACCAAACATCAGGTGGAGCGTGGGGAGTATTTTGTCCCTCCTAGTCTAAGGCAACCAAAGGAGGTTATATTTGAAGTAGAGATTTGAATCAGGTCCTTCCTACTCATAGCTCATTCTTATAAGCACAAATATTAAAGACTGTTTTGTATCAGAGCAAACCACAGGAGACGACTAGTCCAGTGACATGTTGGATGTCGGTGAAATACAAAGGAGGAAAAAAGACAAACTCATCTGACCTGCCTTGATCAACTGGGCTTACATGCTTCAACATCCTTTCAAATGACTGGAGCCCATTAGACTGAGAGATGAATGTAACCTTCAACACTCACAGTGGGACAGCATCCTTCACCACACCCGAGGGCTACAGGTTAGCTTAGGAGACAAGGAAAGCCAGGTGGTACAAACCACTCTGTCCTCCAGCTCATTGTTGTCAACTCTCATTCACCAGCATATGTTGCCAGAGGTGGCTCTCTTGTACCACCTAATGATACGGCTGACCCTTTCCGTCTTGTAGTGACGGATAAAAAGCATGCCTCCTGTCTTGGCCTAGTTAGGCTTCTCCCAGGCCCTTTTTCCTCACCTTTGTTTTTCACGTTCTCTGAACTCGAGGAAGGAAGTGATGACTCTGTGCTATGGACAGAAAAATTTGAAAGTTAACACAGCAAGGCCAAAATGTAAATACACAGTCCAACCTAGCACTCAAATGGCAGAATGTTTTTTTAAGATGTCCCAGTCGCTGGATGACATCATGCCAAAAGAGAATGAATACCTACCTCCTTACAGCCAGTGCTTTTACGTTCTTCCCCTTAGTAGCCCCTGTTGGACAAGATGACAAGCATCCCCACCCAACCCATTTTTGTCTTTCAAGCATCAGTTAAAACACAGATGACAAGCTCTTAGGGAATAAGTAAGTGTTGAATTGACTTCGGACCGGTGCTTGTTTGTGTTGCCTTTAACATACTTTTAGAAGACACCCACAATCTGTTTACAGACAGTAAACACAGATCCACAGATAGTTGTCCAGTTTGCTGTTAGCTCTAAGCAACTGGTTCTCTCCTGCTGTTCTAAATAATCAACCTTAATTTCCACTTCAGCTCTAAGACATGCAGAGAGTGCTGTCTTACCATCTTTTCAGCAGCTGTATTCTCAATGAATCTAGATCCATGTCCTGGGTTCCCTTCTACTTTCACTTTTATCCCTACAAGAAGATATTAAGGGGAGGCAGAGAATATGAGCAACAAGCAAAGTTGGTAAAGCAACTTCTTAATACACCCAACCACCATAATAAGGGAGAATTACATCCAGGTGTTAGGAAAAGGGCAGACAGAAGTTAGATAGGGATATATTGGTAGGTATCTGGATAATGAGAAAGGATTTCTAGCTCCCAGTACTTTAAGTATAGCAAGTAAAATGGAAATCAGAATATTTGCCATGATTGGCCTTGTACAAACTGCTTATCAATTAGCCTCAATATACCTCACGATTAGCTGCTTTTCATTAGGCGTGTTTACAGTTTGGCTGGCCATGTTCACATTAGACCCCCTGGCCTACAGGAGCTCAGATGTGTATTTGCACATAGAGTATCTAGCTTATGGGATCAATATCATTATGGAGTGAAGTAAGTAACTGACTCAGCTTCATTATACAGTAATTTGCAATGTTTCTGATCTGTGACCCTCAGATATTGGACACAGAAAATATTCTAGAGACAGAAAAAAAAATGCAAGCAAGTGGGGCCCAAGTGGAAATGTATGGAAAAGAAGTATGGAAATAGAAGTGTCTTCAGAACATCCACTAAGTTACAATCCATCATCTTTATGGCAATATTTCTACACATATATCCAAAAAACAATGTCACCATTCATTGCATTCTCTCCAAGTTTTCAGATATTTATCACATTTACATGGAATTATCAATCTTCACATATAGAGTACATCTCCTACATGTTCACATTTTTAATGTAAAATATCTGAATAATTCATAATGTTACATGCTGCAATTGAGCATTTTAACAGACTCAGACACACCCAAACAAATGCCGCTGAGGGGTCTAAGATCCCACATCTGTTCCAAGGATATAACAACAGCAGCTAGAAATCCACAGAATGGAAAATAACTATGGATAAAAACGGCTGATCTCAGTGTCTGGTTTGGCTCTTCCAAGAAACCCCACAGATTAAATAAAAGTTACATGTGTGTCTATTGCACAGTGCGGCAAAAGTTCAAAAACGTCTTTGAAGAATTCTGACACATTACACAACTGTCCTTGCATGATGTTAATTTGCATCTTAAGATAAATGTCTCTTTTTTTAAAAAAAATCAAAAGCAATCTTTCAAAGAAAGCACAGTGGAGCAGATGGGGGAGGAGAATATAAGCACAAGAATTCCAAATCTTACTCACACCATGGACATTTTTCCCCATAGAATACAGTAAAAGTGTCTGTTGGGTTTGCTAGACCTGGAGAAAAAGAAGCAGAAAGAAAGAAGAGCATTAGTTAAAAGGCACAGCAGGTTTCCTGCAGCGTCTTTGGACAAGGAATCCTGCTAAGAGTCTAAGCATTTTTCATTAAGCTCATGCAGGTAAAGAAAATAGTTTCCCTGAGCCAGTAAAATACAGCATCTTTATCAAGGCTGTCTCTACAGATTCCATCCCACAAACATCCCTTTTTTTTAACTACTATTGACAGAATCCCTCAACCTGCTGGAGATGTCTGGGACTTTTCATCGAAGGAAATAATTTTTCCAAAGTCTGGTACAGCTGGCTGTTCCCTTGCAGACAGCAAGCCTGTGGCCAAATAGGATCTTTGTGAAAAAGCACCAAGCAAGAAATCTAGATATTCATCACCAAAGACTGTTTTGCCAAAGGGAAAAGCATGCAAATGTTTATTGTGCTGTATTCACTGCAGTGACTTCTCACCTTCATCTAAGGCAAAGCCAACATTAAGAGTGGCAAACTCAGGTCGTCCAGTTCAACAATGGCTACTACAGTATCACTGCAGTGACTTCTCACCTTCGTCTAAGGCAAAGCCAACATTAAGAGTGGCAAACTCAGGTCGCTTCACAAACATTTCCATCCCCTTGTGGCCCCCAATCTCTTCATCTGTTAAAAAGAATGAAAGAGAGTGTGTGAAAGAGAACAAATACATGTTATAAAATAACCCCCCTGGCTTTGCTCTCCAAACTGGCCCCGTGTATACCATACACCGAAAGGATATTGCAAAGCAGTGCTCCCTGCAGGAATCAAGAAAGCTTTTTTCTCATGGCTGTTGACCCACAGTGGTAGCACACCCACACCCACGACATGGGCACAACACCTTTGGAGGGTGAAGAGGCTTTTGTCCGGCCACACTCACTGCGTATCCTCTTACCTGGGACAAAGCTCATATGAATTGTCCGTGGAAAGTGTCTACCTTCAGCTTTCAGTCTCCGGATGGCCTCTATGTATCTAAAAAGGAAAGAAATTTTCTTTTAATGGCTGTTGGAATCCCACAAGGTGGAGCGGGGAGAGACGCTGAGCCTACATTCTAATCAGAGTTGTGCACAGAGGAAGAAGGCTCAAAAATTTAATTATTGTAACCCGCCTAGAGACCTCTGGGTAGAGTGGGCGAGTTGTGCACAGAGGAAGAAGGCTCAAAAAGGTGACAAATCTGATTGAAACTGTCAACACATGTATAATGGAAAATGGCTGAAAAGGTTTGCTACTTTAACCATTTAACGACGGATCTGATTTAAACTGTCAACACATGTATAAAGGAAAATGGTTGAAAAGGTTTGCTACTTTAACCATTTAACAGTTTACCTCTTAGGCCTTGCACTGATTTAATGCAAGACATGAATACACTTCGGGGAGGAGGGTGACCAGGGTTCATTAGACTTCTGCACCTGCTACAGCTCTATTGAAACAACTACTTTAGATGACATAAGACAGGGTGAAATAATGGTCTCAGGTCTAAACTACGCACAGTTTTACATATGTAGGATGTAACTCATCCTCAAGTTTCTTACTCCAGAATAAGTATGTGTGAGCCCAATTTCAACCAGGATCATTATACATGATTAGGGAATGGTTAACCCTTCCCTCTGTTGCCACTTTTTTCTTATTTAAATTCACACCACACCTAGAGGGTGGGGGAGAGAGGGAATCACTGGCATCAACAGGAAGGTTCACACTTTTTTAAAGCTGCTGCATGGGGATGCAGTGGATTCAGCAGTTTAAAAAGGACCAGTGGAGAGAAAAGGTTTAAGCATCTCTTACTTGCTTCCAATAGTCCTCATTCCAAAGGTATTTACTTTTTGGGGGGAGATAATGAGTCGCAGCTACGCATATCACATATAATGCAGCATGTATTTCAGCCCTTCATCATGTCTTGTTTTTGCTACCATTTTCCAGACTAGTTGGGAAAGCAGCCCTCTTGACTAACTGATGTCCACCAGATTGGAGAGCCATGGAAGTGAAAAGGCAGCTAGCTGGACTTACTGAATGGAGACACACTTCATATCTTGAGCCCCACGTGCATAGATATTTCCTTCTGAGTCCTTGAAGGCAGAAAAAGGATCATAGCGCCAGTACTCCTATAAGGAAGAGAGCAACACACAGAAACAGTTCAAGGACAGGAGGGCTTTGTACAAACTACTTCCTGGCTAATACAGAAAAAAACCCTAACTAAATCTTTGCCCAAGTAGAAGCAAATTAATATAATCCTTCCAATCTGTAACAAAAGTGAACAGAAATACGTTTCCTTGGCCATCCCAAAGAGCTAAAGCTACAATATCAAGTAATGCTTTTGAAAACTTCTCTCCAACATACATATTCAATACAGTCTGAGCTGGCTATAGAAAGAAGACAATTTTAGGAACACAAGATGCTGTCTTACACTGACCCAAGTCATTTTGCTTCATAGGGGCTTTTGGGTCAGATTGTTTGTGGACATGAGTTGAGTGTGTAGCTGGTTGTCCCTCCTCTCAGTAACCAGTGGACTGAAGCTCAACAAGTTTCTGCAAGTATACATTTGTGTGCATTGGTTTCATGCTACACTTCCTATCCTGTCTGGATAGCATGACAACATAATCTCTGCTGTTATCCGTGATCACTAACCAGAGATAGTTCTGTCAGTTCACAGAGATTCCTCTGCATGCTGCTTTCCTTCCTACTTGGATTCTTCTCATCACTACACTCTGGCTGGGAGGCACAGAGGAAGGCTGAGCCAGGAGCCTCCATGAGACAGAGCCAGAATCTCTGTGGGCCAGATTAGACTGGAATTGCCTCTTTCCCTGTTTGCCTAGCCGCATCTCTCAAGGTTTCAAACAGAAGTCCTTTCTAGTCCTCCTTGGAGATGTCAACAACTGAACCAGGACACTTGGCTTGTAAACTATCACTCCTGCCATCTTCTGAGCCCAAACTAGAATAAAGAAATATCTGCACATCATCCTGGCACAGTCTGTAAGCTGACAAAATTAACCAGGAAGTGCCCATTGAACCCACCCCCAGGAAGATCCCAATGTTCAGTAATGTCAGATAATATTTTTTTTTGCAGGGGGAGGAGGGAAAGAATAATATTTAGCTGTATTGTTGGAGGTGAGTACAATTCTTGGGACCCACCTCCATTGTGTGGTTTGTTAATTTTTTGAATAGAGGCAGGCCCTTCTGGAACAGCTATTTTATGAACTATCACTGGCTATCAAAATAAATCAAAATATCACATTCTTTTATTTATCACTTTAAATGGTACTCTGTTTGCACAGGCCTGGAGACTTGAATAATCTCAAGTGCAAGGCAGTCCTTTGTGTTAGAATTATGAATCTCATTCAGAAAGTATGTTGCACTATTTATTTTCATTCCCTGAGGGTGTGAGCTTAATCATATACACTGTGCTGTCAAGCAGTTAGAAGAACACCAGTATTGATGACATAAGTATGAAAGAAGTACATGAGTGTACATACCATGGACACAAAACAGACAGTAATGAGGAGGAGGATTATGTGGTATTTCTTTCCTGGAATACTGTTTCCTGACCATTCAACACCACCGGCACCCTTTACTAAAAGCAACATCATTGACAGCAGCAAGGTGGGACCCTAACACCAACATTTCTTTCCTGGAATATTGTTTCCGGAACATTCAACACCACCGGCACCCTTTACCAAAAGCAACATCATTGACAGCAGCAAGGTGAAACCCTGAACCCCACCGCCTGTTCCATCCTCACCTCAAACACTGGCACAACATCGGTATGGGAATTCAACAGGATGGAGCAGAGTTGTGGGTTTGTGCCTCTCCAGGTGAGAATGGTAATCACTCGGCCAGGGCAGACCTGCAACGCATAACGGAAGTCAGCTGGAGACTTTTCTGCTTGTCTTCACATCACAATGCAGAGAAATCATCATCTGTGCTGGGAACCTGCTCTCTGAAAGCCTCACCCCTGCATTGTTACTGGAAAAATCACTCATGATGGTTTTTGCACTTAAAAAAAAACAACCTTTAGCATAATCCTGCCAAATGTGGTGCCATCCAGATCTTTGGGGCAATAGTTCCTACCATCCCTGCTTTTATGGGACATGCTGAGTAAGCCTGATGAGAGCTGTTATCTGACCATGAGTTCTAGAGAATGCTGAAACTTATCTCATTTACAAACTTTAATTAGCGATCCAATAAAGGTATTGTTTCATGTTAAGACTTCGGATGATTGGATCACAAAGCCATGTTTTGTAATTCTGTATTTTGGGCCTCCCTCATCTATTTTAGTATTAAGGGACATTTTTTTTTAATTNTTGCCATGTTCTGCTCTAATAATTACAGAATTCCTGGGAAATTCAAACAGGCCCTTAAAAGTAGCTTCGATTGTCACAATAAATATAGACAAAAACTGAGAAGACTTTGGCCCTCCAGGTGTCGTTGAACGCCATTTCCCATCCCATCACAGCAAAAAGAGCAGTATGATAGGAGTAGCAGTTCATGAATATCTAAAGAGGCACATGTTCAGCAGAAAAAAAGCAAATCTTGCAAAGGTTTATTTAATGGCAATTTTAGTGATTTATGCTCAATCAATTTGGAGAATTTTTACATAAGAAAGATATAGCTAAGCCGCTGTTTTTGTTTTTTACAATTTTAAAAAAACCTCATTTTGCATGAGATTCATTCGTAACAGTTACCAGCCTAAAAATATAGAACACAAGGCTGGAAAGGTCAGATTCAGGAACAGACTTAGAACCGGTAATAACAGATTAATGGGATAGCCAGCTCTGCAAGAGATTACAGACTGCAAGAGGCTTGTTACAGATGATAACAAACCAATCCAAGCACCCACAATATCAGAACTTTTCCAACACTGTGGGTTGTTCAAGTAGTTGCCTGAACCCTTTGTCTCTGTTTCCTTGAGTTGCACAGACTAAGGGAGAACCAAATTCTGACCTTCCAGATTTATGGACTATAGCACTCATCTACCAAAAAAGCCAATGGGCAGGAGTTAAGAAAGCTAAAATCTAAAACATTTGGATGATACCAGGTGCCTAACACACACACCCAACCCCACTTGGAAATGTTCCTTCCTTGGCTGCAACTCCCAGAATCTCAGACAAGGCCAATAGCCTTGCCAGCTACTGGGGAATTCAAGGAGTTGTGGTTTAAAACTAACCAACCAAGTAACTATTCCAAGCTCTTTTTATGCCTGACATAGGCCAAGGGGTTCTTATCAATACAGAGAAGTTTGAGGCTAATAACTCAGACTTGTTGATCCTGCCCTGCCTCCAATGAGTTCAGGGACCCTACTTGGCTTGCTCTCTCCCTGCACCCCTGTTTTATTTTCAACACCTTGTTGCCATGTAGATCAGACTGGGAGCAAATGTGATCACCCAAGGCTACCAGCTGAGTATTTTGGCCAAGCTGAGATTTAAACACAAGTACTACAACAAATTTCCAGACATGAAATGCTGATGTATTGTATCAGAGCATAATACACAGCCCCCATGTGTTAGAAACTTGTTCAAAGATAAAAAAAAAATCCTATTCCTAATTGTGCCTAGTACCCACTCTTTCAATAACAAGACCCCCTTCTTGTGTTTCTACGGCATGGAATTCATTTCCCTCTGCATAGGGGAAACTGCCTGGGACAGTCAATAGCCTGGACTTCTCTCCAATAACTAGTGCCCTGACTGCTCGCCTTGTGTTGACTGGATGGGAAAAAGCCACATGATTAGCTCTGCTGCACCTATGGTCGCACCATTCATATGCAGCTTCTGCCTAAGAGGGGATTCCATGGGGAAGGGGGGGATTGGTCCCAGTGGTGCTACAGCTGGATGTGATAAATGCTCAGAATGACACAGAGCTCCAGGAGGGAAGAGAAAGGTAAGAAACACCAAAGCAAAGGCCCTGAAAAAGGAACACATTGCTAATATCATGCAGTGCTCAACGTAAAAGGAGAAAAACATACGATAATAAACTTTCAACTGTGCTGTACAAAATTCTTTCTCTTGAGGTGTTTAAATAGATTCTGACTTGACTATGAATCCTCTATAGATTCCTAGCATTTACACCTGGAAACTTTACTCTTTGCTACCAGGACAACAAGCTTTGGCCGTATACTACGTGTCTTGGAAATGGGGTATCTTTTATCTGAAAAACTGTGAGAGTATTAACCCTTCTAGGTTTTCTTGAATTAAAGGCAGCAAAATGAGCAGGCAACTATGAAAGCTATCAAAAGTCTAACACTCATAAATATAAATCTATTTTAAATAAGGCTGTCATTCGATGGTAAAATGATTGAGAGATGGTTGGAAACCATGCCAGCCATCTAAAGCTGGGCTGCAAGCATAAAGATAGCTCTGTTTGCATTCCTGTTCTTTTTCCTGAGATTCTAACCCAATTCACAGACTGTTATCTCACTTCTTTGAAGAACGCTCATACCACCACACTCCGCAAGAGATTTTGTAAAGGCATTATTATTTCCTGAGAAGTGTGGGAAAAATCTTAATCTAGCCAAAATGTGCTGACAAATCACTGGACGCCAATATATGTCTTCCATGATATGTGTTTAACAAATACAGGACATGATTACTATCACCCCTCTGTTATGTTACAGGTAGTGTTAATCTGTATAAGACAAAAGGCATTATCGCCACCAAGAGACACAGAGAGTGCTTAAATAATTAAGAAATGAAGAATGCCAGAGGCATGGTTGCCTTACAACTGGTGCTGAATGATTAACTGCATTGGCATCCCTGAACGGTGAAGCAGTCTCCTCCAACGAAGCCTTAAGGAACACATCTCTCTAACTTCAAGGAAGTGGCGATGGGCTGTAAACCTAATGCAGTGATTCTGACATTCTGGAATTAAATTCTGTCATGTAGATTTCACCCACGACTAATATAGAAGCCTTGTGGGTGATCCGCTAATATGAATCCAATGCCATCTTCTTCCTGATACACTGTGAGATGACACAGGAAAATGAGCACAATCCAAGCAAGGTAAAGAAATGTCCCTCATTCAGGGTTGCAGAATGAAGTATTCCTCAGAGTACTAAACCCGACGTTGTGGTAGTGGAATTAAAGATCTGCTTGGGAGGCTATCATCATCTACTGTAGTGCAAAACCACCTTTACCACTGCAGATCAATGACGTATTTCCTTCTCGACAAGGCTTCTTCATTACTTACCTCCACTTTCTGACACTGCAGGCCAAGTTCAGAACCTATCCTCTCCAGGAACTTCACAGCCGTGTCTGAAAAGAAAGCCGAAATCACAATAAAATGAAAAAAGCCAATGAAACAAACAATATTTTAATTTCAGACAACAAATCAGCAATATTTGGATAGAGAGCATGTATAAAAACTTTTCCTTCTGTTCCCTGTGCAGTATTTGGTACAGAGGACTAATTTGGGGCAGATAACAAATGGAAATGAAGCACTCAAAATAAACTAGTTTGGAGAAAATATTTTGCTTGGACACACTGCCTTATTCATGTATTTTATTCTAATATGAATCAAAGTTTATTTGCTTGGGCCAACTGTTTTATATTAAGTTAGCTCATTTATCTATCTTGTACATTTTCTCCCAAGTGTTTTTAAAGTCAACAGGTATTATTGTAGAGGGGAAAAAACGAAGTTGACTAAAGCCACCAAGTTAAACCTGTGATACAGTGGGACACCTGATATCATTTCGCACTCTTATCACCTGGATTATGGTTATTCTTGCTTTACTTGAAAAGGTACAGCCTATGTCATGAAAGCAGCAGGGACAGTTCAAACCTTTAAAATTCTATGACGTCTATCAAGCTAAAAAAAACCATAGGATTTCAGCAGATCATTCAACTCTTTGCTTACAGTGAGGACTCTGCATATCAACACACCATGTTACCAATGACAACTCCCTCCTCCCAAGTTTGGACCCTTGAAGACCTCATGCTGCTTCGCAGAAAGGCACAGGCAAGAAGAGGGAAATGACCCGGTTTCTTTTCTTCTCTGAGGTCCAGCAGGAGAGAAAACACTTTGCTCCCTTCTTCTGCTTGAGTATCATTATGGGTAAAGAAAAACCACACCAGAAATAATCCTTTATTCTTGAGAGAGTCACAAATCTTGTCACTGCTGTTAACTCTTATACTCTCTTCATACATTCGCAGTTGTACATGCATCTTCCTCACTTCTTTTACAGCTGGCAAAACAAAGAATAGGAAAGACTGTGTCTTTTGTTTGTACTCTGTGATTCCTCTCAGGAGTTCATTTGGCCAAGGAAAGGAAAAAAACAGTCCTTAAGTTCCCTTTAATGAAT